CACTCTTGCGGGACACTCTTGTGGGACACTCTGGTGGGACACTCTTGGGACGCTCTTGTGAGACACTCTTGTGGGACACTGTTGCGGGACACTCTTGTGGGACACTCCTGTGGGACACTCATTTGGGACACTCTTGCGGGACACTCTTGTGGGACACTCTTGTGGGACACTCTTGTAGGAAACTCTTGTGGGACACTCTTACGGGACACTCTTGTGGGACACTCTTGCGGGACACTCTTGTGGGACACTCTTGTAGGAAACTCTTGTGGGACACTCTTGTAGGACACTCTTGTGGGATACTCCTCTAGGACACTCTTGTGGGACACTCTTGTGGGGCACTCTTGTGGGACACTGTTGTAGGAAGCTCTTGTGGGACACTCTTGTAGGACACTCTTGTGGGACACTGTTGCCGGACACTCTTGTGGGACACTCTTGTGGGACACTCTTGCTGGACACTCTTGTGGGACACTCCTGTGGGAAACTCATTTGGGACACTCTTGTGGGACACTCTTGTGGGACACTCTTGTGGGACACTCTTGTGTGACACTCTTGTGGGACACTCTTGTGGGACACTCTTGTAGGAAACTCTTGTGGGACACTCTTGTAGGACACTCTTGTGGGACACTCTTGTAGGACACTCTTGTGGGACTCTCTTGTAGGACACTCTTGTGGGACACTCTTGTAGGGCACTCTCGTGGGACACTCTTGTGGGACACTCTTATAGGACACTCTTGTGGGACACTCTTAACTCTTGTGAGACACTCTTGTGGGACATGGTTGCGGGACACTCTTGTGGGACACTCTTGTGAGACAGGGACACTCTTCTAGGACACTCTTGTGGGACACTCTTGTAGGACACTCTTGTGGGACACTCTTACGGGACACTCTTGTGGGACACTCTGGTGGGACACTCTTGTGGGTCACTCTTATGGGACACTCTTGTCGGACACTCTTGTGGGACACACTTGTGGGACACTCTTGTGGGACACTCTTGTGGGACACTCATACGGGACACTCTTGTGGGACACTCTTGTAGGACACTCTTTTGGGACATGCAGGACACTCTTGTGGGACACTCTTGTGGGACACTCTTGTAGGAAACTCTTGTGGGATACTCTTGTAGGACACTCTTGTGGGACACTCTTGTAGGACACTCTTGTGGGACACTCCTGTAGGGCACACTCTTCGTACGAGACTTCCTCCAAAAGTCACGCTGCGAGGCTGCAAGACGAGCGTTTCGTACGAGACTTCCTCCAAAAGTCACGCGTCAAGTCTCAAAAACGAGCGTTTCGTACGAGAGTCCCTCCAAAAGTCACACGTCAAGTCTCCAAAACGAGCGTTTCGTACGAGACTTCCTCCAAAAGTCACATTTCAAGTCCCCAAAACGAGCGTTTCGTACGAGACTTCCTCAAAAACTCACATGTCAAAGTCGACTTCCTCCAAAAGTCCAGCAGAAACACCCGTCGGACACACACATCACGCAGCCCTGCCAAGCAGTTTCGCGATTCCAGCCCCTCCAAACGACACCCGCTCACACGCCAATCCCAATGTGACAGCGACATTCACCTCTACCACAACTCACAACCTCCCGATTCCCTGCGCCTGCCACGAATCTTTGCGCGTCCACACGTCTAAGGCGCACAAAGTACTGCGCCTGCCACGAAATGTCACCTCCGTCACACCTCGCAACCTCACGATTCCCTGCGCCTGCCACGAAAATCCCACTTCCACACCGCAAAAGCCACACCAAGTACTGCGCCTGCCACGAAAAGTGACAATATCATCTCATGTGAGCTTCAACAAAATTTGCACCACACCACACGTTTGCAATGATTTCGACCCGTTCTGAGCACACTCCCATCCACCAAAATCGGCATTTCAGCTGAGACTTATCACGAAAACAGCGCTTCGATGCCACACCCTGCAACGCAAATCCCAATGGCACGGCCACATCCAACACCCCAAAAACACGACTCTCCAAACGCTAATCTCAATGGAACTACGCAGCACTCTGCAGATCTCACAAAACGCTGCGCCTGCGCAGCGAAACGCATCACGTTTCTTGCGCCACATCTCATTTTCATGCAAATCACAATGGAATAGCGGCGCAAACAGAACCGTGACACATCCATGAAAAGTCACTTGCAAAAGCTTCCCCCAATGGCAGCGCCTTAGCGACCTACTGCGGACGGTTGCGAACAGTTGCGGACGGTTGCGAACATAGAAGCAACGGGTCGCGAACAAGGCTCTACCCCCAGACCCCCAAGAGTTAAACGAGAACCCTTCGCTACGCATTCGGGAAAAAGGTCAAATCTTGGCAAAATCAGCTCCATCTTTGGTACATATCCACTCCCAGGATCATGGTCCAGTCAGAAATCTTGGCCTTTCCGAGTCCAAGACTATATCTCTTGTCTTCCCATGGGCCAATCAAAAGCAAAGACTTCATTGCTGGACAAGCTGGAAGTAAGAGTGCCCAACTTTTCCAGCACTGGGGACTTCCTACTTTTGGACTCCCTACGCCCTCCAGTACGCATACCTCCCCTTCATGGAAATGAGCACCTCGGGCAATTCTCCTTTGATGCCCTCCAGCTTCTGTAGATCACGCCCAGCCATCGCCCAGCTCACCGGCTTTACATCACCTTCTGGACTTCATCGCTGCGGTGGACTAGCTTTTAGGTTCAAATAGGACATCACCTACATAAAATGAAGGCATCCTTCTATGTTGAAGGGAACATGATGGAATGACATGGAATGACCAAATATAGATGAACTGTGAGGTTCGGCCAGTGATGTGTCTGCGATTTCCACGATCACTGGCATCACAGGAGTGACGTGTGCGGAATCTCACCGCACTGCACCTCAAAACACAACCAAATCAAAGTATACCAGAAAGACATCTCAAGCAGTCCGTGCAAGGCAAAACCTGAGCTCCCCAAAAAAGCATCCAGAAAATATCCACCACAAGACAACTCTTCTCGTTCCCCACGCCTTTTTGGGCCCGCTGAGCCAAATATTCGCAGGCCAAGCGCCCGGTGAAGCCCGTCGCGCCCAGCACGACCACGTCGAACGTCATCGGGCTGTCCGATCCACGAGGCGATCGTCCGATGGGCGGTGGGCCGATGGCTGCGGAGGGCCGCGGCGGTTCAGAACGACTGGTGCAGAAGGCTGGTGGACTTGGAAAAATGTATGTTTCTTGGGTCTATCCTATTGCGAGCAGCAGATAGCAGCAGTGGATGATTGATATGGGTTAGTAACGGGTTCGTATCTTCTGAGCCCCAAATCACCGAATCTTCTCAAGCAGCAAATTATGTTTTTTTTTAAATTTAAGAACTCCAGCGATAGCACACCCCTCACCCACTGGTCATGTGCGAGTAGAACAGGTCCTGCGTCACAAGACTGTCATGCTGATCGGAAACAAAAAAAAACAGTAGTTCAATCCAAATAAAGTCATATCCCACGTCAAACAGCAGCATCGCTGATAGCACGACGAGCACAAAAAAAGCTGCAAGGCCTGTTCCTGTTCCTTTCTCACCATTTGCCGCTACAGTACGGGCGAATCCTATAACTTGTGAGGACTCTGACACAAGCCGATTGTGATGCACATTGCGCACACTGAAACTCACCCCTCGAAGCCTGAGGGAACACGCAGGCATACGTAGTTCAAGGCTAAGAACAAAAGAAACTGCCCAGGCTCACAATTCTTCTATACACGGTCACAGTTTCGTTTTCTTATAGTGATGGCCTCCCACCTACTAGCGATGGCCAACCTAATAATCCCAATAGTGATGCCCAGGCTCACAACTGTTCTGTACATGGGCGCTGCATTAAGAAGCAGCAGCACCTTAGCCCTGGAGTAGCTGAACCATGGCCTTCTTAAGCACTGCTGAATCTTTGCAACGAGCTGCAGCGGCCGCCAATTGCTGCTGCAAGTTGGCGATCTCTATCGACTCTTCGTCCTCCTGATCATAAGCCTCTTGGAATAACTGAATGACTTCTTCTTTAGTGGGCTGGTGCGGATTGGTTGCACCACATGCGTCCTTCATGGCATTCTCAGCTAAGAGTGGGAAGTCCGCGACCTTTACCTGATCAAAGGCTTTGAGGTTCTTGGGGATGCCTATTCTGTTCTTCAGCAACTTGATTGTTTCGAGCACCTTTGTCACAGCCAAATCCTTGTCCTCGCCACACTGGAAGCCCAAAGCCAACGCAATGTCGATGAAAAGCTCAGGCACATACTTGGCATTGTATTTCTGCACTGGTCCCAATAGGATTGCATTGCAAACGCCATGTGGCATGTTGTACATCCCTCCCAGCTGATGTGCCATGGCATGCACATACCCAAGCCCTGCGGAATTGAATGCCATGCCAGCCAAGAACTCAGCATATGCCATCATGTCACGTGCCTTCAGATTTTTTCCATCCTCAACAGCTGTGGGCAAAAATGCGCTAATCAGCTTCATCGCACGAATGGCACACGCATCTGTGACTGGGTTAGAGGCAGTACTCACATAAGCTTCGATGGCATGGGTCAAGGCATCCATTCCAGTGGCGGCGGTCAATGATTTGGGCATACCAATCATTGTCTTCGGGTCATTCACTGCCAACGTTGGGGTAACACGCCAATCAACAATCGCCATCTTCACATGTCGAGTTTCGTCCGTGATGATACAAAAACGTGTCATCTCAGCACCCGTTCCCGCTGTGGTGTTGACAGCCACCATGGTCATCATCGGCTTGGTGCTCTTGTCGACACCCTCCATTTGACGGATGTCTCCACCATTCGTGGCAGTCAAAGCAATGGCCTTGGCACAATCATGGGGAGAACCACCACCAAAGGAAATGACGAAGTCACAGTTCTCCTCCTTGATCTTCTTGAGACCAGCTTCCACCTGTCCACATGTAGGATTCGGTTCACACCCATCATAGATGGCATATGAAATGCTCGCTTGATCCAGCGTCTCGGTAAGAGCCTTCACTGCCCCCACCTTCACTAGCACAGCATCTGTGACAATCAACGCCTTCTTGTGTCCCAAGGCTTTGATTTGACTCACTGCACCCTTCATGGCACCTTGACCCATGATGGACTTGCAAGGCATGAAGAAGGTTTGCCCTTCATCCCCTGGAGGTCCATGGTGATAATTCAATCCATGGGCGCCCTGCGTGGTGTGCCCGGCCAGGTCCTCGGATAACGCCTTTGACAGGTCGAAGCTGGAGTAGTAGCCCTCCATGGCGACTGGGGACTGGAAGAGCCGAATTTGAGCTAAACGTGCTGACAGTTCTTGCGGAATTGCAAGTGAAACATGTCGTTTGCCAAACAAGACGTCAATGTGCCTACAAGACGTCAATGTGCTGCAATGAAGCCTAGTAACTAGCCTAGTATCAGTATATATCATTGTAGTATACTGATAGTGCTCGTTAATATTTCAGGCTTCATATCGCATGGATGTGCACGTGCCTCCATATGCATAACACAAGTTTAGACACGTCAAATGCTGCAACACTTGCACACTAGGAAGGTTAGTTGTGATGCTTTTATGTGGGCAAATGTTACAGAACGCAACAGCTCTGCAAAAACTCAGTCCTCTGTCTATTTTGCAGCTGCCGTCGAGCCTCTGCTGGGCAAAAAGCAAACTCTGATACATACACCTTGTAGTGCGCAGTCGTTGGTTGCGTGCTGCCTCAACATTCTTATCCTGTTACAAAGGGTATGTTGGGATGGCTGGCACAAGCATCCTGCCTATGAGGGCAGGAGTCCGTAAAAGCTCTATTGTCGGTGGTTGGACCAGATAAAAACAATGGGCCCCTGTCTGGTTGCGTGGAATTGAACACAGGTGCTGTCTGCCACTAGTAGGAGTCTCTCATGCAGCTATGGTACCGCTGTGGTCGAAGAGCGTCAGCATGCGTCAGCACAGAACCAAAAAACAAAGTCCATCATGCCGAACAACACATCAGCCCCTCAAAGAATCCTTTGATGGGTAAGTTAAAACTTCTCTGGGGCACTAGATGTCAAGCGCCACCCATTATTGCTGAAATTGAGAATCGTGGTCAGGAAGAAGGCTAAGGGAGTCTTGGGGTGGCTAAGAAGGAACCATTACAAAAAAAAACAATCATGAATTATTACCTTATACATTAATCCGTTCAAACACTGCGGCAATAATGTGTAGCAATCAAACATCGTTACGATACTGTCCTGATTCTTCCCTTTAACCTGATGCTCATGGATGCGTAAATCTTCAATTTAAAAGACACGCTTGAGCCAAGTGGCAGCCAGTCCACCTTGTCTTCAACCATTGCTTGGCACAAGAACAGCAACCCCAAACATCATGTGGGAATGTCAGCGAAAACCAAAGAATTTGAGTTGTTGACTGGATTCCCTGCCTGTTCACTCCATGCATGTGCGCAAAAGGGCCCAACAAGGCCTTCTGAGCTCAAGGAAAACGCACACGCGTGATTTGCACACGCTCGGGTTGCTTCCATCTTTGTAGAGTGGAGCTTGCGGCCTTGTGCAAGTTGACACTGGTTGATGGGGGGGTGGACTGCGAACATCTGAACACAAGCACAAAATTAGAGCCTTGCCGATTTGCAGCTAATATGTGAATGCTTCATATCATATCTCATAGCTTCAATCTGTGTCGTCCAAACTTTCGTGTTTCACCAACGTTGGGAGACCAAAGGCCACTGATGCGTAAAGTACGGTTGGGGGAGCTTCATCTGTCTTCCCACCCGCTTGAAACATTTCTCAGCCGGACGATTCGGCCCGCATTTCTCCGCATTGGCACTGATTGCGTCTGACAGTTCTTCTCGTGAGAACGCTTGGAGAGCTTCAGTTGCATTTCATATTGTAGTCATATTATAGTCTAGTCTACTCAAAACATAGAAGGATGATGAAGGATGTTTGTTGTGGGCAACGCTATGATTCTGTCTGTCATCTGTGATCTAATTAGATCTAATTATTGTCAGGTACAAGTTTCTTGGAGGGAAGCTGCCAAAAGTGTCCTCTATAACAAAGTCCGGTTTGCACGTCACACGAGTGACTTGCAATGGGTATATAACATTGCCAAAACAGGAACAGCTAGCTACCTGGGATATCACTTCAAGCATTTGCACGCAACTCAGAAACAATGACTCGTTCACGTCCACTCACACCCCTACCGTTGTGCTTTCAAAAAGAATGCGCCAACCAGTCCGTACGAACAATTCTTGCGTGCTCAGTTCTGCTGGCAGGCTGTCTCTGGGCTAAGTGGCCTGCTCCGGATCAGGAAACCTCCATCTACATGCCATCCTCATCCTCATCATCCTCTTCGAAGCCGAACAAATGCTTGATTCTTTGGAGATGCCTAGGTTGCTACGGTGGCAAGAATGCTCTTGTCATGGACTCCAAGAACCGAAAATGCCCTTCAGCATGCCCTGCAGCCTAGTGTTCTGGTCTAAAAATGTATCATCACTGTTCTGGTCTGTAGATGAGCTATGCTTTACTTCGAGTCCGTTGCGAGAAAGGGCAATTGAGAGGGTGTATATTACTTGCTTGTGCTTACCAAACTGTCTTAACACATGTGTTGGTCGTGATCAAGCCATGACAGTACCAAACTACAATGACATGTCAAACAGCAATATGCTTTGTGGTTTTGCGGTGCCACCAAATCCATGCGCCTCCTTGTTCGGAAGCCCTGCCCAAAACATGAATTTCATTTTGATATCCTTCAGCCTCACCTAAGGATAAACACCTTCACCTACATGCCTATCTGTTGAACAAAGCAACATATATCACTGAAAGGCTCTACTGCGGTGGAACTCCCAACCGCATTGACGCAAAGGGTGGGCGCATTCCACCGTTGGCATCCTGAAACACGTGCCCGTGATTTCAGACTAGCAAGGCTGAAGTTAGCTGAGGCACTCATATTCCGGATCCCCATCATGATTCTTGCACTTGCTTAGATCTTCAGCTTTCGCCACAAAACCTTGGATGGGCTGCAGGAATTATAAACATCCGCCTGACTCGACATCTCTGTTATTGTCTACGATCAGAAATGATCAGGGAAAAATATAAGTGCACAATCCAGGAAACGAAGGGTCTTGCGGCACCGGGTGTCCGCACTCGCAACCTCCAAAGCCACTGGACCTGTATTCCCGCTGAGGGATACAACTTCTACCTGAAGCTCGTAGCGAGATGCAAGTGGCAAGCATTCCTGCGTGCTCACATAGATTTGACTCCCACGAGAGGACCGAGCATATGTGTAGTACTTATTGTCTGTGACGGACTTCGTGCTGACATGGTCCGACAAGTCACCGCAGGCACTCGTTTCGGAAATCCACAACCCCACACCAACTTTGACTTGGTAGCATGTGCCGTTCTGAAAGTGGGAAAGTTGGCATTGCCACGACAACGCCTCGATGTTGCCGTCGTGCGCCCAGTCTCTTTCAAAGGTTGAAACCCACCAAGAGGGTAGGTGTTGATGCGACGTGAGAATGAGATTTTCATCGTGTGCATCTAGCACTCGGAAAGCAGATCCCAACCCAAAGGCGTTGTCCTCATCTGCTTCCACACGTCGAAATGCAAGCTCCATCCCATTCTCGAAAACAGCTGGCATGCGAAAATTGAGGTGCCATTCATCTGCAAACAAACCACTCGACCAGTGACAGGATAGTGCATCATCTTGCCTGCTTGCAGTGTGACCTCATCAGCAGGATTGGAGTTGCAACGTCCACATGACGTATTTGACTATGATTATCTAGCTGCGTCTTGCAGGGTTCGAGGAAACTAACTTTCAAGCAGGATAGCCCCGCAGCCCAAGAACCCAAAGAGGTTCGCCTGGCTCGCCTGACTCCAATGGAACTCACACGGGGCACCATGTTTTTTTCTGCGCCAAGACTGTGTTGACTGGTCGTTTCGTTGACGGGGCGCCTCCAGCAGGGCATGGTGGCATGGAGAACCACAAGCGAGACCCATTTGAGCTTCTGATCAGGAAAGCCTGGTTAATTACTGATAAAGCGCATGCGAAGTGACTGCTGGCATAATCGCACCGGTGGTCCGCAATGTCGTGTTGCTTTAAAGTTAGCCTCCATGGGCAGTTTGCATGCTATGTGGGTGGCCCGATGGTGTGCGGGAATGGGGGGTTTGCACAGGTGCCGCTGCCCTGCCACAGCCTGGCACGCTTTTATGCCGAGGCGGCCTGGCTCGAGAACATGAGCCACAAGTTCGTTGAGCCTTTGAAGATTGTCCGGTCCGTTGCTTGGTTGCTGTTTAGCTTCCAGGTGGACATGCACAAGCTTGTGTGGCTGGTCCTATGAGAAGTATGCTTGAAGCTCTATGTGATTCTATGTGTTTAGTTTGTTGAGTAAGAAAAAGGAGTGGCAACGCCAGGCTTAGCAGCTACTTGGTGGCCTGGAGTGATTGCTTGAGCGGCTGCTAGCCAGCAAACTCTTGACAAGAAAAATGTTGGCAAAAAAGTTTAATATATAAGTTGTTACGTGCATCTTGCTTTCAATTTGATGTGGCACACTAGCCTGGAGCACACGATACAGCAACGTGTTCGGAAAAACTTGAAAACTTGTGTTCCAAGAAATCGCTCCCAAACGCTCGAGTTCGAGAAGTCCAAGAAAAAAGAAGCACGTGCATAATTCAATTACAAAAGAATAAGCCAAACAACATCAAACAACAAAAGATAGATAGGTCTGCAAAATCCAAATCACGACGTCTGGTTCAGCGGAACAGGGTGGCCTGCATCTGCGGCCGTATGGAACATCGACCCAAGTCAGAACCTGGACCTATGGATCAGCCTGTTTGTGTTCATGGATAAATACTGGTGTATGTTAGTATTATTAATGCTAATGTTCTATGGATCAGCTAGTCAGCAACTATTTTGGTCAGCGTTAGGTCAGTGTAGGAGATGTGATTGATGCGGTGGGATGCCTGCAGGCTGTTGGTCGTGAGCCGCCCGTCTTGCAGGAAGCGCCTGGCTTTGAGACGGAAGGTTATAAAACTTATATAAAACATTTAAGAACAACTTGGCCTACTTCTGAAATGTAGAACGTATAGGAATTAACGCACATGTTAAATTCAGTGCGCACTTGCATAAGTAGATCGACTGGGCTACTTGCAGGGCAAAGGACCGGATAACTAAGTCGGCCCCTTGCACCGACAAGTCGGCTCTTTGAGAGGGCAATGGGTCGCAACTCTTTCTCAGCTGTGGCACCACTAGGAGTCAGCCCCTCCGTTGGCCATCTGAGCTGTGGGACACAGTCGCTTCACAAAAGTGGCAAGCAGCAGTTCATCGTGGACACTTAAAAGGGTGTTTAATTAAAAACGCATCTTAAATGCGTAAGAGCCGCCAAATTTCCGGAAGGCATTGGCTTTGTCGATCAAACGTAAGAACTTCTTTCCAATCCAACCCTCTTCGCCGGTTTTGCATGAACCTCTCACCCAGGCAAATCGCGCGGTCTGCGGTAGTGGTCAGGAGCATGTCGCGTGATTGCAAAAGAGATGGTCCAAATGATCTCAGCATCCAAAGATGATCCACGGTTTTGCTGCTTTGTCATTTCAATTTTAGCTTGCACGCGTGCACCCACACACTAGGCTGAGGTGCCCGCTGGCTTTAAATTCAGTTCAGGTCCCTTATCCGCACACACACCAGCCATAGCTTAGTCCTGACCTTCATGTTCTGTCACGTTGTTCCTGCGCCTTCACTACCACCTGTATAAGCAGGATGATGGTGGTCCTTGTGAAAGTGTGTCTGTGTGTGACAACCCTGGAGTTACAAGCAGCCTCGTGAATACACTTGCGAGCGAAGCTGCTCTGGTGAGGGAAACACGGAAATTGCACTGATTCAGCAGCTTCGCTTGCAGTTGCTCTTCTCTCAGGGGTATAGTTTGTAGTTGTTCTTTTGTAGTTACTCTTTCTAGACTGCTGGCGCTCTTTGGGATCTTTCCCCTGGGCCTGGAAACAATATTGTAAGGGTAAGCCTTGCAACTGCCATTGAAGTGGCAACATTATAAAGTTTCAACTTTGGCCGGATTTCCGGGACTAGTACTCCTGACGGTTGTTGCGCATTCATTCATGCAAACCTATCTCTTGGTAGCACAACATTGAAGAGACCGAATGCGTGACAAAGAGCAAATGCAGGATGCGACCCACTGCCCACCCCAAGAGACCTATATAGGTGGGTTCAGGGGCCTAGGGCCTACAAAAGGGAGAGTTGATTAACTTGCTGACCTACTGGCCGCCTTCCGAGGAGCAAGCGGCAAGGTGACGACAACACTTGTGCAAACATTGACCGACCTTTTTGCAGGCACTGCTTTGCTTCCTCCATAGTAGTAAGCAAGACTCTACTCTACTAAACTCTACCCTGCCCTACTCTTCTGGCCCTTGATCCTACGGTCAGATTTTGGGTGCGTGGAGTGTAACTGTAACCACCACCTAACCACTGACCACCCACTTTGTGACTCCAGGCCTGAACTCTAGACTCGAGAATTGCTCTAAACTCAATTAGACTTGACGCTAGGCCCTAGACCCTAGAATCTCTAGACTCTGGAGCTAGAACCTCTACAACCCCAGGCCCTACAACTACAGAATCTAGAGCATAGCCAAGAATGCTATTTATTTGCTGGAATGCCTTTTCGGCGACAATTCCACCATAGCTGTCGTTGCTCTTTCCCTGCTCCTTGCTTTTGCAGTTGTTCTTTTATGGTAGGACGGTTTTCGTAGTTGCTCTTTCCGTGCATCACAATCCGACTCTTGGTGTACTCAAGTCAAACTTGCTTTATGTATACTTTTGGGGACACTGTATCCCCAAAGTTGAACCCAGTGCCTTTCCAGGCAAGTCGAAGTAGGTCCGGTGTGGTTGCTCTTTCGGTGACTGGTCGTGGGGACTGTGGTTGCTCTTTCCGCACTCGTTTTGCAAGACGTCTGACAAGAAAGAGCAACTACAGTCTCCTCAGGACCAGTCTCCAAAAGAGCAACTGCAAAAGATCAACTACGACTACCAAACCACCCCTAAAGAGAACCCGAAAAAGGAGCGGTGAAAAAGCAACTACAAAGAGCAACTACAAACGAGATCCCTTACCGCCAAACAACCTCCTCCAGCCACTGTTAAACAAATGAACTTCTTCAAAATGCGTTTGTCTTTGTTTCGCATCTTTTTAACTATTGAACCAGTCACACAGTCTGTTCCATCTGCAGCAGACTTTAGGTCTAAAAAATCCAAAGGCTAGCAGCTAGACAGCTAGAATCTTGATTCGATTCTAGATCGCAGGTAACTGCTATTGCAATATTATTGTTGCTGCTGCTGTTGTTGTTGTTCTTCTGTTCGCTTGTCAATAAGAAGGGGCTAAATACACGGATAGGCGAGCTTGCCAAAACGCGTGGTGTCCAGGTTGAGCACCTGTTATTTTAAGTATTTGGAACATTGTGGATTTCATGTGTTCTTCTCAAACCTTATGAACATGGTAAAAGGCATGCTCTCCTTTCAGGTGAACCTCATGAGCATAGTAAAGGACATGTTCTTTTTCAGGTAACACTCACGAACATGGTCAATCATCTGCTCTTTTCACGGGAGCCAACAGCCTTCCAAAACACAAGCGTTTTCAACATTATCTTTTCATGCTCTTTTTTGAATAATTGAAAAACAGCCTCCGTGGCTTAGAGAATGTTATAAGCTTACCTCATCAAAGCTACGTTCCTATGGGATTGTGCATCGAAGTTTGTCAAGGTACTGTAAATCAAGGTTGATCAACCTGAGCTTCAGGCCATGACACATGCTGGCCATACCGTTGTCAAAGAACCTCACAGAGTAACGGAAGCCTCTGTAGCGTGATGTGGCCTGAACCGTGAACCATGTTGTACGCATCTCGAAGACTGCAGGCTCTGCTAAATGCAAACACCCATGCGGTAGGTGTTCACCATGAGGAATCCCACCACAGGGTGAACCCTGACGATCGATCTCACAAACACTCTCTGGTTCCAGTGGAATCTTCACACTCTCCCATTGGATCAAATCATAGCCACACACTCTGCCTCGGAACTCAACGCGTTGGGGGAACTCCAGCGGCATGTGGCCGACCCCTTGGCGGCAGCTAAAACTGGACGCCTGAAGGCTGGTGATGCTGTAACGGATCTCTGAGTCACACCTAGGCCGGGCCGCTTCAATTGAGCACTCCATAGGTGGTCCTGGGGAAACCTCAGAGAAGAGTCGCCAAGGTTCTCCTTCCGATAAATTCCACTTGCACCTGGCAGAATAACGTGGGAAGGACGTGTTGCAGTATCTCTGTTGGCGCGATAAATGCCTTTTAGCGCCTTTTGGCGTTAGTAATGTGTTAGAAACTATACAAGAAGAGCGCCACACTTGCAAACTCGAGGACAAACCTTGAGCAAAAACACATGCCTCCAAAACATCCCAAACTGATGCTCAGCAAAGAACTGGTCCTTACTCTTCATGTGACATGAACATGGGTGACTGCCGGCCTTCCACGGGGCTTAGATTCCACACGTGTCCATCGGATATTCTGTCCTTCTGCATGCCCATGGAGCACTAGCTGCTGACCAAGATCACAAGCATGCCCCTCTAAATCATGTTGTTTGCTCTTCAGAGAAACGATGTGGATCAAAGCGTTGGAACATGTTGGCATTGGAAGGCACTCTCCTTGTGGCACATGTCCTTTCCACGTGATTTGGCCATAGAAACCTGGCAAGCATTTGCAACCAACACCTGGCACGAAGTCAGAATGTAGAACCGTACAATCGGCTGGAAGACATGTCCCGAAAGCCTTCCATCCTGTCCAGAAGATGTTTCCACCGTAGCCATCAAGACAGCTACAGTTAAAACCCTTCTTTTTGTTTGAGTTTTCGATAGAGCATGGAGCGGGATTGCACGTGCCCAGTGCCGTAGGGCCATTCCAAGTAATGAAGCCAATGAAGCCACGTAGGCATTTACACAATTTGCCCGGCTGCTGGTTGGAGTGCTGTACGTTACAAGGTGCAGGTTCGCAATGGCCGGGCAGAATGGGTTCCCGCCTGTATTCCTTGGAGTTCAATACAGCATGCTTTCTCCTGACTTCTCCGCGCCTGCGCAGGCGATTGGTTCGATTGACGACTCCTGCAAAACCATCTCGGCACCTGCAGCCTGGACCGCTGACACCGTTGGTGAATTCGCCCACGCACGGCAATTCGGTGCATGAACCCTTTGCCTGTGGCCCATCCCAGACGATAAGGCCTATATAGCCTTTTAAGCAGCGACACTGATCTCCTGGCATGTTGTTCGAGTTTGGAATTGGGCAAGGAGCCGGCTTGCAAAAACCGTAGGCCTCAGCACCCTTCCATCTGATCATTCCCCCAAAGCCGTCCCGACATCTGCACCAGCCACCTTCCTCCGTAGAGTTTGGGATGTTGCACGAAGCATGGCTGCACCCATAATCTGTCAAGATGTCCCCGTTCATCTCAGGCTCGCCTCTGTTGATTTTGGTGACAGGACTGCTATTTACATCACTTCCGCCATACCCTCAGCAAACAACATAATCACCCAGCAACCAACCTGAAATGATGTTTTCCAATAGGCTAGACTATTTTTGTCCCAAACGCATCACTAAAGACTTGATTCAACTCCAACACACAAAAGGCTGGCGATAGACAAATTTGTGCAACACCGCAGTTCATGAAAGGTTTCCCCTTTTCCCGTTTGAATCCCTACCCGCAATGGAAGCAACAACTGCTGGCACATAGACATGAACATCTGACCAAGAAACAAACAAAACATCATGTCCTCATTGCTCTTCGACTTGGCCGCTTTGCTTTGCTCTGCTTCTTTGTGTGGAACCATTTGCTATTGTTTTTGTTGCGGCTCCAAGTGTTCAAACTGTTTTGCAATTTTCGCTGTAATTCAGCTACGCCTAACCTACGCCTTGTCCGCTTCATAGCTAATTGAGGCCTCTTTGGTTTTGTTTCCTTTGTTTGTGCCTTTCTGCGCTCCCAGTTCTATTGGATTGGTGTTTTGTAGTTTTTGTGATATATGCTGCCCGGTTTGCCGTTGTCCAGGTTTGTCTACTCCTCAGGGTGAAGGCTGAGGGTGGTTTAATAAATTTAAAGGCCTTCAAAGACCCCTGCATGCTGCTTGCGCACGGTCCTCAAAAACAATACACCGCAAAATTGAATGCAAGATAGTTTTAAGTTTCAAGTAATGAATTTGCGCATGGCATGAACTGTGCTGCTCCCCTCCGTGCGGTGGAGGGTGCCATACACCGGCGGGCCTTATGTTGCCGTCTGCGTTTCTTATCCAAAGCCTCTGTGATAGATGTCCTGCTTGTACAAAAGGATAACGCACTACCCATGTGGAGTGGGCAAGTTCAACGATATCCATTGGTATGTGATTTCGCCAAGACGCCTGTAAAACCATCTTTGCATCTGCAGGCCGGGCCAGGCAGTCCGTTGACCCTAGGTCCACTGCAGTGTGCTGGCTCACAAGTGCCCACGGGTGTGGACCCAATCCATGAAATGGTTCCTACCTTGGCCATGCTGCGCAAGTAAGAGCGACAGCGACTTCTACAAACATATATATATATATAAACAAATATAAAGAATGTGTTTACCGTCTACCCCTCGCTCCTAAAGGGACAGCAGGCACTTTTTCACTGGAGTGCTTCAAGGTTGCTAGTGAAGCTAATTGACAGCCCCTGATGGCCCTTGTGGCCGGTCAGCAGGCGTGAAGCCTAACTTTTACGCAACATCCGCCTGAAGATGCTCTGTTGCGCAACATTCACCTCAAGTTGAAGAGGCTCTGTTTCCGTTGGCCCAAGCAGAGCGGGGACTGCAAGAACCAAGTGACTCCACCCCTTGCCAAGCCAAACCAAGCTCTGAGACATATGCGCGAAGGTGGGAAGGGTCTTCCGCCTTTAACAAATCAGGACGCTTAGAACCCACCATAGAAGCAGCAAAGTCAGCCAAACACCTGCGGATGACGACTTGCAAGGGCTTGCTGCTTGGTATTTTGTTGCTTGGTAGGATAACACTCATTCCTTGGCCATAGGTACGAGATGTTACGAGGCACCACAGGCTCGTGCGCTTGACTAATTGTGCCAACCCCATCGTTGCCGGGGTGTAACACCACTGCCATGTGTGGAAGTATTGGCTATTGCAGACCCAGCGCTGAGCGAAACCGTTGACAGAAAGCAGGGTCAGCCTCGCGGTAGGGCAATGTCAAATAATTCAGCTATTTGGTGGTCAAAGCGGTGTGGCTTGGGAACGCCAAAGCCGTTTCGTCTTGACTACAGTTTCAGGAACCGATCCAACGCAGCGCCCACCTAAACAGGCGTGCTCTTCTTCTCCAGGAAGTCTCTCCATTCTTCTAATCAGGAGCTCCGGTAAGGCTGAGAATTCATCAGCCTCTTTCCTCACTTTTCCTTCTACTTGCCCTTGACGCCACCTTTTTCTTCTTGTTGAACCCTCCTTGCTGCTCTTCAAATCTACACCTACACCCAAGCTCTGCAGTTTCTTCCCTTCGAACTGCCTGGTCCTCCGAGTCCATGCCCACCTCCTCGTTGCGCGCCAGGTGACCCCCTGCAGGCGGCCGCTCAACCCTAGCCGGCAGCTGATCCCGGTGGACGTCACCTAATGCCAACTCAACAGAGTCTCCACGACAAATGCTCAGCACCATGCTCACTGCGAGAAGCACTTGCGGGGGTTGAACGCTTTCCCAGCCTCATTGTGCATCACAGCCCGCCTCCTTTGAACCACTCCCGCAGCTCCCTGAGCCCTCATCTGCATCAGAAGAACCTGACGTTTCTGAGATCCACTTCCGCCTGTACTGACTTCATGTCCTTTAGGCCCTTCACCTCTTGCAGAGAGACCTCTTGCGCTTCTTTACTACCTCTTTGACCTTAACGGGCATCGAACCTGATGCTTTTGCCTCCCTGCCATCAGGTATCCAGCACCTCTCCTACACCACTGCCGGTCTAAATAAGGCAATTGAGGCAATGGTAGCGAGACTAAAGCTCCATTTGTCTGGGCTGGCCCCCTGGTGCGGAGTCCGATGAGGTTCGTCCTTTAAGTGTCAGGTAAACTGCCAAACGGTGAAGGCTATTGTACGTATACCGTATACTCATAGAGGCGAGCAAATACTCGCACCCCCCCTGCTGCATAACACGTGCCGGACAAACAGTCCAGTTAAGGGGGGGCACGTCAGTCCCCGTCCTCCCCCGCATGTTCTCCCTCACTCGATGGTTTTGCACGACCTTTAGTCTGATGATGTCTGATGGAGGAGCCCCTCACACCACACCTTAACTCACACCAGAACGGATAGCAACTTACCTTTGCCATCGGTCGTATTCCAACTTTACGTTGATCGGCTTCACTCGTTGAACGCTCCCTTTTGGGCTTGGTGGCTATCTCAAAGCGTCCTCTATCTGGCAAACATAGACAACATGCCAGGGCGGTGCTAACTCTCGTGCTTGACACACCTCTAATTCACGCGGTGTGGCTGCCCGGCCACATACTCAGCTGCTTTCTGCTTCTTCCGCTTGGCTTCAGTGAGTGCTTTTCACGGCACTCTTCATTCCAAGGAGCTCATGCTCCAGTCGGCCACCCTCAGCACGTGCCTCGAGAAGCTTTGCCTTGAGACCTCGCTTCTCTAACTGTCAGGGATGTCTCGTCCCCTTCTTTTCCTTCTATTTACCTCGCGGGGTAACCCAAGGTAAAGGCTTGCTGCTTCTCTCCTTAGCAGCCTTCCTCTAGATCAATCCTCCTGACACCGCCTCTTGGGTGCTAGGAGGGTAGCAAGGTTGCTTAAGCCAAAAAGATTGAGTCAAAACCTGCGATCAATTGCAAAACAACAATAATAATAACAACAACAACAAAAGCAGAAACAGGACCAAACAGGATTTCATGCTCCACAGCTGAAGCGACATACTTCTCCCTGCAACGGCAGCTTAGCCCGGGCTCATTGGTGGAATTGGGCAGACTACATGGCGCTGGCGTGCAATCACCTTCTGCCTCTGAGCCGTTCCATCGTATACTGCCAGTGAAGCCGTTCAAACATCGGCATTTCAGCCCTGGTTCCTTGGTCGAATTCAATATGTGACATTTAGCAGGAACACACTGCCCATTAGGGATGGTCCTAGTCCATGTGATCTTGCCATCAAACCCATCTGCACAAGCACAATCTGCACCAAACAGCCGGTTGGAGTTGGGAATGTCGCAACGTGCAGCAGTGCACCCGGCATCTGTTAAGTTGTTGCCTATCAGCTTTGGCTGGCCAAAGTAGCTGTCTTTGCATTTGCACTTAGGACCTGGTAGTCCATTCACCCTCTCGCCGATGCAAGGCGAGCCAACACATATAGTACCAGCCAGGCGGGCCACTGTCATGCTGTTCCACTGACGGAAATCCTTAGGTTTGACCCGGTTTGACGGCTGGATTTGAAACATTTGAATATTTTTGGCAATAGGTCAATAGGTGGCATGACAATAAAACTTGTTATAGCCTCCTCAAGAATCCCATTGACCTTGGAACTTCTCGCAGCACTTGCACACACCCCCTGAGCAATCGCAAAGGTGATGGTTTTCCTTGGGCACTACGATCAATGACACGTTGGTCACAGTATCCCGGCTCAGGCCCAACAAGCTCAAGGTGCAGTTTGTAGAGGTTGATGAATTGCTTGATACCTCAAACTCCAAGGGCTTGTCATGAAACTTGATCAGGGAATGGCCCAAGTATTGCCTTGTGCAGTTCTCACAACACAATCTGACACTCCTTGGATGATCTGCAAACATCTCGCTTGCCACAGGGAAACAGGGCTTGTTCAACCAAAGGAAGAGCCAAACAAATACATTGCTTGGCCGGTTTGCACAGCACGAGCACAAAGACATGCTGATACCATTGGTATGCATGATTACCCAGTCACACAAAACATGCAAAAACTGGTCAAACAAGTCAAGCAATGTTACAACAAGCGCAAATCATTGCCCCCCAAGTCTCCAAGTATGTCGGTACTCTGGCGTCACTTGTATCTTTCCAATCCCAGAGCTCAGCAGAAACACAAATTCTTGGTACCGGCTGAGCTGCTCGGGACTTCCCAGACTTCCTCGCCACGGTGTCAGTGCAGAATGCAGTGATTGTGTAAAGTATCGGAAAGTGCCTCCTCTGTTGATTTGCCCCTTGGGATCCCATCGTTGTGACCAACACAAATATGATGCCGGAAACCTAAACAGGTTTACCCCCCAGAGATGTCTCTACCAACCACCTGCATGAAAACAATAAGCATGAAAAAACATGTGGTCCGTTTGCACAGCTGAAGTCAAAGGATCCTGTGCACCCCCAAGCTTTTGGAAACGTTCAGCCGACAAATTGCAGCTCAGGGTCCCACGAGCTGCCATGCTGACGCTTGAGTTCTGGGCGAGACTTCTGCCAGTGTTCCACTTAAATGTTTCCTCACATTCAAAGTCCAAAGGCTTTGCATACGACAAGGAGTGTGCATTAACCAAGCTCAGAGTCAACATGAATTGATCCACAGTGTTGTTATTGGAGGCATGTTGATAAATTAACCTGGTACTTTTGTAGGGTTTCTTTCTCATCCTGACCATAGAACCATGGGGTTCAACCATGCTTGGGATGTTAAGCTCTCTTGGCCTTACACTGTGATAGTTAGCGGTGACTTGAAGCAAATGAGTAAGTCCAAGGTCCAGAGAAAGAAGACAGTACGTGCTCAGCCACCACACAAATGTTCTTGCTGTGGCAAAGTGGTGCACAACATCAAGCAATGCCCTTCTCCAGCTGCAAAAGAGCTGCTACATCTACGAGCAGCAGTCAAGGGCTTTTTGGAAGGTGCACCACTGTGCAGGGTCATCACTCTTTACAGCAAATCGCGCTTGATGGAAGCCCCTTCGGTTGCTGATGCCCAATCCCAGCTCAAGTTGGCAAGAACTGCAGTTGAACACATCTATCAGGCGTTGCAGGCAGCAGAAGCCAAAGCAGGAGAAGCCATGTGCACAAACCTGAACCAGTCTTGGAAACATTGAGGCAAACGCTGATGGACTTCGAAAGTTGTACGTTAGCCAAGCAAACCCTTGTTTTCAAAAGGAGGTGACAGAAGCAGCTGTTCGTTACAAGAAGGCTAATCCTGGGAAGCAACTACAGTACCCAAGTACTGGCAAGCACACTTTCGAGTACTTGGGCTTAAGGCCAGAACATACAAGGGGCCTGTGGCAAAGAGAGGTGGCAAAATTTTTCTGAAAGTGTTGCCTTTCAAGCTGGTACCTCCTGGTGCCAGTCCACCTGTAGAATCAAAGATTGAGATTGAGCAATCGCAAATCATGAAGTTTCTGGGCGATCCCAAACAAATTCGGTTGTACAGTGATGGAGCCAAAGCCTGGGAAAGCAGTTGCCAGAAGTCATACATCAAGAACTTTCCAGTCGTCCATGGAAAGCATCAGTTTACAAGAAAAATTGAAAGTCATGAAGAAACCTGGAGCCACGCTTGCGGGAACTCAAGCTGTCGACCGATGGTGGCAATCCCTGGGCCGCTACATACCAAGTTCTTTGAACAACAAAGATTGGTCCCAAGGCGTCTGATACATGCATGCATTTGTTTGGAGATATCATCTCTGAGACACAGATTTGAAAAGCAAACTTGGCAAGCTGAAGTGAAAAAGGAAACTCGCCGTCATAGCTGTTTTGAAGTACATGTCTCAATCTCCTGTAAAAACAAACACGACAAGCTTCCCAACACGACAACAACACCAGGTGAAATACCAACACGCGACCTTGTTATTGGAGCCATATGTTTCCTGCTGTAGGCAGAGCCAAGCACACAAGCAGCGGCAAACCCTGTCAACAACCTCTGAATTCAATACACCAAAGCAGTGAGGGGAGCTAGACTGCATGCCGCCACCTATGGACTGTAGATCTACGTGGCTGATTTTGAAGGAGAAAACGTGGCTCAAAGCTGGGCATAGCGATTGGTCAAACAGTTAATTTGTCAAATCAAAGTCTCAACTCATTCAACTTCGGCTCCACGAACAGCTGCTGGATCGCCATGTGGATGCCTAGTGGGGAGATTCCAATGAAGAGTAAGAAGCCAAGCAAATGCAGCAGTGGAGAAAACCGGCAATTTGGGAACAAAGCTTGGCGATTCCCTTTGTTGGCAAATAGTGCCAAATCGTCCTCGGTTCAGACAGGCGGTCCAGGTCGTTCACTCCCAATGTCTCACAGCCGTCCGGAAATGTGATCCACTTGCCGGTCAAACCTTGAAACATGGCCACTTAAGGGGTCCCCTTCCAGTAAACTTCATCGTTTGCCCACTGTATCTTGGCCTCAGCCAACCAGTGGTGTCGCCAACATGTAATTAAGGATCACACATTGGAGTCGATCAACTTGGTTTTGAACTGTTTTGAAGACAGCCAGTCGATGGTGTAGGGTTGCGTGCAGCACAGAACTCGAGGCAACCCCAAGCCACAGCCCAAACAACATGTCAGTATATATATATATTAATATATTAACTAATCCGTCCCAGTCATTCTGTGCATGCTGCGTTTGGCCCTTTGGCCTTGTCCTTGCTTGACTCATCAATTTCTGTTGCAAGGCTTTTGCCAAATCCATATTCTCAGCACACGCAGCACTGGCGCTACCAAGAATAACCAGTTCTGCACAAGTGCAAACATACAACAATCTGCAGAACAATGCATTGTGACCTTCGAGTCTAATGGGTTTTGTTTTATTTCGTATGTGCCATAGACCGTTGTGAAGCACCCACTCCACCAAATCTCAAGGAAGCTTCGCCCCCGAACTTTGTCAAAGTATTCGTCACCCAAGGAGGCAACCACGTGCCGTGGGGCGACTCTCGATGGAGAAAGTCGGCCAACTTCATCTCCTGACAGCGGCAAGTCTTGCGACCCCAGTTATGATGTTCTCATAAAAGGCCGCAACCCAACATTTTACATGGAAGCGCCTACACTCAATATTGGCTTTTGGGTATAAAAAAAGGCAGCCCATCAAAAGTGCATCCAAAAAGCTGGCATCCATCAACAAACATTGAACCCTCTCATATCGTGACTGCCGACTTCGACAAACGAAACGAATGCAATCAAACTCTGACTGCCCACACATGCCCTCAGCGGGCCTCCTTGGCGCTGAAGGACGCAAAATGGATGTGCATTTTGGGTGATTCATGAAGCCCCCGCAAGTTCCCATAGAAGAGCGCCACTGAAATGCAGCCACCCGCCTTAGTTTCCAAGGCCGCGAGCTTCCACAGACCTGGTTAGAGAAGATCTTTCAAAGTCCTGGTTCCTGCAAAGAACACGCAGGAAGCCTTGAACAACCTGGAACGCTTCACCCCCTCTGATGCGCAGCCGGCTAATCCTACAGGCCTGTATCCGTTTTCATGTAGCCTAGCTCCGAGGCCCCCAACGCTGCGTAGAAGCACCCACACGTACCAGAATAGATCGTCTTTCTCATCCTCGGCTCTGCAAGTCGGAAATGCCGGTCCAGTGTCTGAACCTTTCAGCGGCGACGAGACGACGATATTCGTCGTTGATATATCACCAGGGAGTGCGGGAGTTCACATTACTGCAATATACTCTAATATATGTTTAGCGGTCTTGAGAATGGTTCAAGTGGTTTGGCAAACTAAATCCGTACGAGTATCTGAGTATTCCATGCATATATACATAGAAATATATCTAGAACTGCTAGATTGTTTAGGTCTGTGTGATCGCTGAATACATGGAACAAGGACAAGCATCTCTACAGGCTGCCTTGGCGATTTCCAGCACATAGAGCAGGAGCATCAGCCCCGCCAGGATGATGATGAGTTGGCCAAGACCTTCAGGAACCCAGGAATTTCATGTTATTTTGTAGGTTGGAGATGGCTGAGCTATCGGCGACACCGACATCCCTAGCCACATCAACATTCCTCTCCCTAGCGGCCCTAGTGACTCGGCAGTTACAGGGGCACCTGCCATTCCCTCACCAATGGGTTTATGATTTAAATCATAACTGTATATGACTGTGCTTCTTGTGGATATCAAGAAGTCGGATATCATAGGATGGGTAGGGTCTGCATATTGTTTTTCGTATTTCTTTCAGCTAGTCACTGCTCCAATGTCCCAAGAGGGAAAACGGGCCCAACCCCGACACATACGCATTGGGCATCAATCATCCCTACCACAACTCCATTGCTTTCCTTTTTTTTTGGACCCCCGCCTGTTTGCTCAAGCTTCTGGGCTTCGACCATAACTCGGATGCGCTTCTGCCGGGCGGTGTCAATGGCCAAGCGTCGCATGTAGTCAATGCAAAGAAACCTCATAAGACCCGAGCCCCATGCCGCAGCCATGTAAGGAACCCCAACTGAAGGTTGAAAGAACTGTTACGGGATCAACCTATAAATGTGTGTCACTGCGTTTCGACCTTTGAGTCAGAGAAGCTGGGAGGGGAATGGGTGGCTAGTTAGCTAGAGTTTTGTCAGCTTGTTCAGAAATCAATGGCAGCAAAATCATGGGGAGGCTCGTTTGGGCCGCCTGCATTCTCCTTTGTCAAACCCTACCTTCTTCCATGCTTTCTCGATTGTTTCTCCTTTTGCAGGCTGGCCGCCGTCCTCTTGCAGTGGCATATCAAAATCTAAAAAGTCCGACTGAACTCAGGCTGGTCACATGCAGCTGGCCATGACGGCTGCAATTGATAAAGCAAGGGTGATGTAGAGCAGGACGTTGGCCAAAGAGAACGGGCTACACGGATCCGTCATCCTCGGACAAGGTATCCAACAAAGTATGTCTGCAAAGTCTAGCTGCGACGTAGCCATCCTGCTAGGATACTCTTATGGAATTAGGCCGCATAAGCCGAGTTGCTCATGCAGGCATCCAGGGAGAAAAATTGAGCAGGAGGCCTGAAGGTAATTTAAGGTTGCGGTGCCTTCTGCCTTAGGCAGGGATGCAATGGAGTAGTACAAAGAAAGTTATGTCACGTTATGTCATCTACCCAAAGGCAGGCAGGAATCAGGAGGATAAGGAGACATGATCCATGCCGTGCTGAGGTTGTGCATATAGTTCGGCAAGAAAGTATACATTATACATAGATGTACGTATATATACATACCCGTGAGGGGCGTGTGTTGTAGTTGTAATTTAATCGTTTGCGTGTTTGCAATGACCTTGGCACTCCCCACCACTCTGCAAAAACCATCTCTAAGAGTCTTGGAGGTAAGCGAGGCAAAGGTCAGGTTCAGTGTTCATACGGCCCCTCCGTCATCCTGCCATCATGTTGGACCAAGCCGAGCATCAAAATTTTGGCCACCACGAGGTACTGAAATCCCGCGAAGCCAACCTCAGAGTTGAACGACAAGAAAAGTGCAACAGCTGAGAAATGGACAACAGCCCAGGCAACTCCAGTATCCATCAAGGATCATCACAGAGTGTTGTCCCTCGATATCCTTCTCAATTGAAGCAGGCCCACCCGAAGCTGGGGGCATTCATGGTTCACGAGACGCATCAAATACGACCCCCTGGAATGGCGTGTCAGGTTCATTGTCTCTCACAGCGCCCAAGCTCCCTGAGAGCTTTTCAGGAGACCCATTCCCAACCTGCATCAAAGCAGCTATTCCGGCAGCATGACTTGCCAGCGATTGGAAGGCTGCGCGATGCCAAGCCACTGGTTTGAGGGTGGCATCGGCGAAGCCTCAACGAAACTTCAAGTGTCACATGCCGCTCAAAGGAAACCAACAGGTAACTGTCCTCTAACTCGGCAACCGGCCTCTCCCTTTCCCAACCCTGCATTGGCTGGTAGAGGGTGGTCCACCGAAAGTATCCCGTGTGCATTTCGGAGAGCACTTAGCACTCTGCATCAAGAAACTAAAATACCCTCACAAAAAAAATCATACAAACACTGGCAATGTCTGGATTGTGTACAGTCTGCATGGTTACCTGTAAACGAATTCGCCTTCCAATGAACCAACGACCAAAACATATTCCACCTGTTGTCTTAGTTGACCACTCACCGTGCTGCGCCAAACACAGTCCGGCAGCCTGCACCTGCGCCGTCCACCCGGAGCGCTTGCGGTGTCCAAAGCAATATGCCAACCTGAAGATTCCAGCAAAGAAGGCCACAACAAAGAGCAGTAGCTTTGTGAGGCTATGATGGGCTTCTGGCGCCACATCAGCGTGACTTACCGGATCTGGATAAGCAAGGCCGTTGGCCGCTTATGAGTACAATGGAACACTTCTCCAACGTCCCAAAAAAGAATGCACGAAAAGCATGAGGCCACCGCTTCTGACCCAGTGCCCAGTGCCAAATGAGGTGAGCAAACGATCAGA